GTGTGTGGGTGGGGGTGTCCCCCTCCCACGGTGTGGAAAATTTTTAAAAACTGTATGTATAATACTGCATTCTGGTGCATTTTAACTGTTATTTATTGCTCAATCAGGAGTCAGAAATTGCGATTATTTTTTTTGCACCTCAAATCCCAGAGTTATGAGTTATCAACTGCATCCCCAAAACAGTACCGCGTACAAATTATATGGTTTTATTACAAGGTATAACAAACTGAAATGAAACTTACGTTATGCAACACTTGGCGAATACCGACTTGAAAACTAGATTAATCCAAGTCAAGGTCAAATTCACCACGATCGCAGTCAATGAGAATTTCTAACTTTTTCTGAACTTCAGCTGCTCCATCTACGTATGAGCCATCACCTAATGGTTATCGGTTTTAATGTAGTAGGCAGACTCCAAGTTGTGGTCACCTTTGTCCCATGTACGTCTCCCTATAATATCTTGCTGTAACATCGACCGCGTGACAATGGAGACAACACAATCCGCATGTGACCTCTTCCTGTTTCTACTTTATAACCCCATTTGATTTGCTTGTATCACATGTCGATAACAAATGCTACTAAATTTGGCGTGGCTAGGGATAGACTTGTTTTGTATGAAGAGGCGAAGGAGTAGTCAAATTTGGAACACTGTTGTCAGAATGTCGTCGTTATCCAAGATTTATATCTCTGTCTATAGGCCTACTTTTTTGGGGTAATATAAAGATATACAGGCCCGTAGCCAGCAATTTCAAAGGGGGGGTTCTTTTTCTGAAAATGTGGACCTTTTACCATATAATCCCCATGTACCTAGGTCAAATTTTACCCAGAGTGGACCTTTTTCCAGCAAAAAGGGGGGTTCTTTCGAACCCCCCGAACCCCCCCTGGCTACGGGCCTGATATATATACGTGCGCCTGATTAGAAAGAACATACACTGTACTTATCAACACAATGTTAGTGCCCTCTTTCGCGCGGATAAGACGTACTTTAAATCGTAACAACGCAACCAGTGACAGTATTATTGTATCACACACATCAGTGCTATTTGGGATATATGGTACACGGTACAGGAGACTTACATATTTTCCTCCCTGCATCAACTCCTTAGAGAATAGCGGCACACAGAAGAAAAAGAACCCTATTTCATTTTGCCGTTAACAAAGTTGACTCTCCCCCACCCCCCACCGCACTGGCAGTTCCTAAACACCATATTTTGGGCCTCAAGCATTCTATTTTACATGCGTTTTAATTTGCATGAGCCTTGATCCTTCAATTCAGAGGAGTACATTGTATGTAACAATGGTATCAAAGGCCTGCGCAATATCTCCACATTCTTTCCACATCTTGCAGCGTGCGACGTATAAAAGCTGTGCGCTCGAGAGTAGAAATAGATGGTTGATCGATGTACTAGTATTACATGAAGACAAAATTTGCACACACCATACCGCGGCCTTCTCGTTTGATAATGATAAAGTCTTATCTCTAACATGTTGACATCATAGGGACCATTCCCATAACCCTATCGTACTAGCAGGATAGATCTATCTTCGAGGGAATTCTCGCTAAATTGTGGTCAGTTTAAGTGTGCAGGAAAGTTAATTGCCCCCGAACAGCTTCAGTGGGCGTGACCGACATTTAAGCTGCTTAAACTGAATGCAATTTTTTGAGAATTCCCTCGGAGTTACATCGATCCTGCTAGTACAATATATAGGTTTATGGAAACCCAGTCGTATATTTGTACATATCTACACTGGTGCAAATTTTCTGTATATTTGTACTGTTGTACGGAATTGACCGATGTTAACCGTATGGTAATGGACACTTGAATACACATCAATATCCGTAATGTCACTTTCTCTGCACGCGACTGTATATATGAAGTAAAGTGTGTATGGGTTCGATGGCAATTATATGAAATTTAAAGTTAATCAGATACCATTTGGTGTTATCAGTTTGAACAGTGCCTCACATTCTATAATTATATAATATTCAATTATATATTTTATAGTAGTTTGCATCTTTATTTTCTTTGTTAATAGCTCTTTTTGAACTTTAAGAAACATTTCGATCACACTGGATTTGATTTGTGTTTTGTTTAAGTGGTGGCATCTGGCAAATTCAGTTATAACGACCAAGCTGAATTTCCTCATATTATCAACACAATAGAAAAAGGAGCGTGAAGGGGGGGGGGAGTACAGGGGGGTTAACCTTGATCCAGTGTTTCTATACCGAGACCAGACCCTCTGCATGGTTCTGACTGAACAATTCAATTGTATCGATATTCTGACATTGCTTATATTCCGCCTCTTCAGGTTAATAATTTGACGCCTATAACCGTTAGATAATTGCCTGTATCTTGCCATATTGGAGGAAGAAAGGAATAACATTTGCTGTACATGTACAAGACCAACAATACAATTCCATGGTATAGCGGTTTTATGCTCATTAGTCACATTATAAGTAGACCAGGCATTATAACTACCCAAGATCTACTCTTATTACTCTGATTTAGGGGGTGACACTTCTATTGTCCAGTGTGTGTAGATATTGCATGATAGTGTTACACGTAACTGTGTTTAATAAAGAAATAACAGAATCATTCCTATATATTTGTGATCAAAAACTTTATTGTCAAAGGAAGACAGGCTTTCACTTTGATTGGTTAGTAAACGAGTGTCGTAAAATGACCACACATGTATGATTAATAAACCGGGTACATAAATAAAAACCTCATAAAACAACCCTACATTGTCATACTAGTCTACCATAACCCAAACATAGCGTGCTAGGAACGTCTTTTCTCCCGCTTTGGAAGTTAAGGCAACCATGAAGGGATGGCGAAGAAAATTAAGTTTCCGAGAGGAGTGTGCACGTTAAACGACCCGCCCTACTCCAGATCTGCCCATGAATTCTGTATGCGATGACTTAAGAGCAGTGGCAGATCCAGGATTATATGACCCTTCCCCCACCTTCCCCTTGGCGTTGGGTTCGGGGTCCGCTGAGGGCCCCGAATTTTTTCTATTTTAGAGGGCGAACGTTGCCATTTCGTACGGCTTAGAACTATGATTCATCTACTCAATAATCTAATTTCAGAGGGGACCACTGGTGTGACTTTTTATCAGAAATTGAAGGTGGGGGGGGGGGGGGGGGGGGTCAGGGCGCCCCTCCCCCTCCCCCCTCTAAATCCGCCATTGAAGAGGTATCTGTTATGTCTCTTTGGGCTCAGGGAACGCCGTCACTTGAACACACATGTCATCATGGTTGTGAACGGAGAAACAACTTTTCTTCACCATATTCTGTTTTCGTTCTCTGCTAGACCTTATGAAGTAATACCTAGAGAAAGAAGGGACATGATGAGATGAATGAATTGGTCGCGATATCAGGTATTGATAATTATAGTTTGAAATCCAAAAACCTATCTGCCATATTCAATTTTTCCCTTGAGTTTCAGCGTATGGTACATAGGTTTGGTAACATTCCTGTAGTACTTGGCACAAAAATCAATTTTAAGAGAGTTTTGGAGTTTTTCTTGTTCATTGCTTTCTTAAAAAGATGGTTGGTTGGTCTTCTTAAAACTTGTATACTGCAATTGTTCTGTTAGCCTACATGTATTTTCAATCATTCTGATAAATAATTAAATGAAATTAATTTCAATTTTCATGTAGTGGTATGGAGTGAAATTTCTTGAAAATATAGTGAAATATTCACATCTGAGGTTTGCTATATTTTTATTTTGTTTGCATATGCATCTAGAGAAATTCCGTAGTATTTACTACAGAGCATACATTTTAGATACTTTTTGCCTCTTTTATGAAGTTGAAATGATCGCCAAACGCTGTATACGTTTTACAACTAAATTATAGCAAAATCAAATTATTTTGTTCTGTGTAATATTGTCCTGGGTATATTTTTACTCGATTAAAGTAACAGTTGATTATGACTAATAATTCCATTGCATAGGCCCTATACTTACAATATAGCAATTAGAGCTATGGTATACATGCCAACCATTGTCAGGTAGACGGCGCCACGATAGTACATCACAGTGTATTCGTATACGGTAGAAAACAAGACGCCACCGAGCAGAGAGCAAGCACAGTCTATGGAAGCAATACTCGCAAATAAAGTGCCTAGAAAAAGTAATAAAAGGTTTAAACAATGTACGCACAATAAAGCAATACTTTTATTTGCCCCTCAGTGTCCAGGGCCTACAACGGATTTTGGAAGCTCTTATAAATTTCACATAAAATAATGACAAGTGTTTGACGGCATTTGTGATATGCTTCCTATAACTTCCTTTACAATGACAATTGTGACTACGTAATAACAACAACAGTACTAGTAAAACCAAAGAATGTACTTTTGATAGCAATGGCGAATTTTTGCATTGTTTTCCCATGCGTCTGAAGTACGATAGCCTGCACCGACCCCTGAACCACGATAACGTTCCGACGAGCATAGAGATATACCAGTAAGATGCGTTAATTTGTCTCTCATGAACACCGAGGTGATCGTTACAGAAAGCAAGGAGCTGCGATTTCCATCCCACCCCTATGCTTTTACCTTGTTCGTGAGCGGAGACCTGCTCGGACATGACGGCACGCAGCACAGGGACTAGGAGGATCCCAAGTACGCCAAGACCACCGGCTGAAAATGAATTGTAGATCTCTATACCCTCGTCTCCTCTCTCCCTCTCTTTCTCTCTCTATCTACGTGTGTGTGTGTGTGTGTGTGTGTGTGTGTGAGTGTGTGTGAGAGAGAGAGAGAGAGAGAGAGAGAGAGAAACGTATTAGAATATGCCCTTGTTTTGTTAATGTTAGCAGTGAAGACCTCTGTTTATTATTTTTCATCTACTTCTTAGCATTTTGATTCAATATTTGCATAACAGACGTATGGACAAAGAAAAGGGAACATGCTTCCTTAAAAAATGCACGATGAAAATGTATAAAGAAAAATTTTACTAAAAACATTGATACAGCCAAATTATCTCCTACGTGAAGAACGGTTTCTTTCCCACTTACCAACGTACATTTCCCAGTCATGGTTTGCAAATGCCACCATACCCTTCCAAAGTAAAGCGCTCATCGTACCGATCATCATTATCACGGGCTCGGGCATCTTACACCGCTTAAACAGTGGCAGCGTCAAGAGCCCAGCCACCTGTGTGGCAACGGAGACCGCCGCGGTATACCATCCAATCTTCGTAGACGTCCAACAGAACGGAAAGTTGAGTTCGTACAAAACGTCTACGGTCGACGTGGCCACGAGGGACATTGTCCCGAAGAGCATAGTGAAGCAAAGAGTCCGTATTTTCCAAACGCGTGACGGATCTTCTCCATTTGGGGCACGGGCGTACATAAGAAGCATTGCCTTGACGTTGTCCAGAGTGAAGAAGCGTGCTTCTGGATCTTTTTCTACAGTTTCTGTGATTAGAAAAAACGTGTATAAGGCAGATACCCCGTATAATACTGTAATGAATACTGTTGGTCCAAGGAAAGTTGGGTCAGCCTTAACCCAATAGCCAATGATCACCTGGGAAATGGCCGAACCAAGCCATAACATGACTTCTAAGACTAGAATTCTGAAAGCACGTTGCTTCTCCGTTGTGATATCAGCAATGTATGACATGCCCCCGATGAGGATAGTGGCGTAGTACCCGAACATACCTTCAATGACACAAGTGATAACAAGCCAAAAGATGTCCAATTTGAAAGTGACCACGATGATGTTGCACACATTTTTGATGAAACTTCCGACACAGGGAAGCAGAATACAGAATTTCCGTCCTCCCTTATCGCTGTACGAACCATAAAACGTCGTGACGATTATGGCGGGAATCATCGTTGCTAGGCTGAACTTCTGAAGCCAGCCAGACGATATTTCCTGCACTAGTTGTTCCATCTTAACCACTGGGTCTGACGCGTTCAAAAGGCAGATGGAGATGTCCTCTGACTGGTTGCTATGGTACTGCACGGGGTCGAAGTGAAGGTCGTCTGCTACCTTGGCGTGAAGGTACTGTGTTGCCAGTGGCGCCGTAGCAACTGTTCCCAGAAAATAAAGAAACATGACTGGTTCCACTGTTATTGGGCACCTTGGCTTGTATCTTGACGTTCCATGTTGAATCAGTGGCACTTTCTCGTTAGGACCTTTCTCAGTGGCTCCCAAGGAATCGTACTCATTGTCGTCCATTTTGGTTTGATTTTGTGGAATTTAGTCGCGGAGTCACTGTTTGAAAATTTGCTAATGAAGAAACACAGTTTTAATTTATTTGTATTTACATATTGGCATTTTTTCACAATATTTACGGATCCTCGTTAGGCCACATTTTTTTTTTAATGGATGACATCCTGCGCGCGCACCGATTTTCGTCCGTTCTCCGAAAAAGAAAATTACCCCCAACGAAGTCGGTTGTCGCAAACGTCCTTATTGAATTTTGCCGGAAAATGAGCTCTCTGCGCATGCGTATTATCGCTACCTGGAAATTGGCGGCTTTGCCGTCAAACTCATCTCTAGGATTGCTGATAAATTACACGACAATTAAAGTCATAAGGAGGACGGAGGCCGTCGTTTGGATTGGTATGTCATTGATATTGGGCATAGAGATATCACCTTTCTACAATTATACGAAAGGCTGGCGGCGGCCAGAGATTATCGCCCGTACTGTGTACTGACAGCTTTCCTTTACTAACGTAGTTTTTTTTTTTTTTTTTTTTTTAACTGTTTTTTTTTTTCGCCCTCTCGCACCGATTTCGGGATCCCCAGAGGAAGTCATCCATAAAAATAAAAAAGTGTGGCCTTACTATTTTTCAGTTTAGTTTTCCTGTACAACTTAATGATAATATAAGGCTCACTTGTACCTCATCTTTGCTAAAAATGAAACAGACATCCATTGAATTAAGCAAACTGCGTGTTAAAGTACAACTTAATCTTATTTAAAGAGGGTAAGAATGAGTTGACGTATATACAGCAAGTTATCAAAAATAGTCCCGTGAAGAATATCGCGTTGAAAATTACAAGGCTCCATTTCACAGTAAAACAAACAGAAATGAAAACTTACGTTATGAAACATCTGGCGAATGCCGACTTGAAAACTAGATTAATCCAAATCAAGATCAAATTCACCACGATCACAGTGAATCGGAATTTTTAACTTTCTCTGAACTTCAACTGCTCTATCCACGTTTGATCTATCACGTAGGCATCTTACCTAATAGTTATCGGTTATAATGTAGTTGTCAGACTCCAACCAAGTTGTGGTCACCTTTGTCCATTGTACATGTCCTTCTAATATCTTGCTGCAACTTTAACCGCGTGACAATGGAGACAATACAATCCGTAAGTGACCTCTTCTTGTCTAGTTTATAACCCCATTTAATTTGGTAACATCTCAAGTCGTATCAAATGCTACAAAATCTGCTGTGGCCTGGGATAAACTTCTGTTTTGTATGAAGAGACAAAGGAGTAGTCAAATTTGGAACACTGTTGTCAGATTGTTGTCGTTATCCAAGATATAAATCTCTGCCTAGGCCTACTTTTGGGATAATATAAAGATATATACCTGTACCTGATTAGAAAGACATACAGTTACACTGTACTTGTCAACACAATGATGGTGCCCTCTTTCGCACGGATACTTGACGTACTTACAAATCACAACAACGTGACCAGTGACACTATTATTTAATCACCACACAGAAGTGATATTTGGGATATACGGTACACGGTACAGCAGACTTTCATATCACCTACATGTATCAACTCCTTAGAGAATAGAGGCACACAGAAGAAAGGGAACCCTATTTCATTTTGTCGTTAATAAGGTTTATTCTCACACCCCCCCCCCCACCACCACCACCTCCACACTCGCATTCCCTAATTATAAACGCCACATTTTGTGCATCAAATATTCTATTTCAGATCCGTGTTAATTTGCGTGAGCTTTGGTCTTTCAAATCAGAGAAGAACATTTTATGTGACAATTGTATCGATGGCCTTCACAACATCTCCACATTCTGCGCTGGGGAGTAGAAATAGATAGGTGATCGATGCACTAATATTATATGAAGACAAAGTTCACACACACCATACCGCCGCCTTCTCGTTAAATAATGATAAAGTCTTATCTCTAACATGTTGACACCATAGGGACCATTCACATAACCCTATCGTACTAGCTGGGTCGATCTATCTCCGAGGGGATTCTCGCTAAATTGCGATCAGTTTAAGCGTGCAGGAAAGTTAATTACCCTCCTAGCAGCTTCAGTGGGCGTGACCGACACTTAAACCGCTTAAACTGAATGCAATTTACTGAGTATCCCGTCGGAGTTACATCGATCCTGCTAGTACAATATATAGGTTTATGAGAACCCAGTCATATATTTGTATATACCTACACTGGTGAAAATTCCCTGTATATTTGTACTGTTGTACGGAATCGACCGATGTTAACCGTATGGTAATGGACACCTGAATATATGACGACGATTTCCTTGAAGTGTATAGAAGCATAGTGTGTATGGGTTCGCTGGCAATAATATGAATTTTGAAGTTGGTCAGATACCATTTGGTGTTATCAGTTTGAACAGTGCCTCACATTCTATAATTATATAATATTCAATTGTATATTTTATAGTAGTTTGCATCTTTATTTTCTTTGTTAATAGCTCTTTTTGAACTTGAAGAAAACATTTCGATCACACTGGATTTGATTTGTGTTTTGTATAAGTGGTGCCGCCTGGCGATGTCACTCCTTCAAATTCAGTTATAACAACCAAGCTGAATTTTCTCATATTATCGACACAATAGGCGAAGGAACCTGAAGGGGGGGAGTACAGGGGGGTTAACCCCACTTAAAATATGCTTAGCGTTCTCCTGTGGTATATTTCCAACTTGTTTTATTGGACCAAGCAGCGCAGTCAGGTAAATGATAAAAGGGGCTTAATAGAGATATATAGGCCAAAGTAAATTAAGCTAAGCCAGTTGATACAGTTTCAAATGCCCAGCATTTTATGCTTTATCATTTAGACACTTCTATTATCATAAATATGCTCTAGAGTTCTTAATTTTCCGGTAGAATTAGAGTGGAAACTTTGTTTGCCTCTGATATGGAAACTTACGATAGCAACTGACCGGCGTTGCGGTCTCAACCTGCCGTAGACTATAGATCAGGCGACCAGTCCATCCAGGTCATTACAAAGTGAAAGGTTGATACCGCAATGTCGGTCAGTTGCCAATGGAAGTTCCAGTATCAGAGTTATGCGTAGTTCATATCTTCCGGAATATTCCACTGAACTATATAAGACGACTAAAACTCTGCTTCTGTCTCCCTCCATGTGTCTCTGATAGTGCCCCGCCCCGAGTCGCCTCCCGGTTTCGTCGAACCATAGACTGGCTCCTTGAAATACTTTGCACTGATAAACGTTTCCTCGTCCTCCTGGATCTCCTTGAGTTCTGCGTAAGATGGCGTCCGGGCACCGATGTTGTATATCCTGTTGAAAAAGAGGCATAAATGATCAAAATGCGAATCGTGTATTTATCACATTTTTAAGTAAGTTGTACCATCAGTGATCTTTTTGTTCCATGCCAACAAATTAAACTACGCCGTGCGAAGCCATTTTTTCTACTTTTAAGTTATTCAAATGTATGATTTCAATTAACATTAATTTTTTACGTGCCTGAACGAAAGTATTAGAAATATACTAAGTATTTTAGCTAATTTATGAATGTATACATTCACAATGAAAGTCCATGGTTCATAACAATGCAATAAAAAGGGAAAAATTAAGAAAACATACACAAGAATAAGAAACGCCACCATAAACACGCCCGCTATACTGAAGAAGACAATTCCCTTGTAGATCGCCACAGTAGCGGAGTAGATAGAGTTGAAGATCACGTTGGCTAGAAGGGAACAGAGCGTCTCAATAGATGATACGCTGGCAAACAGTGTTCCTGTAAAATAGACATGGATGTGCTCACATTTGGTCATTTTCCTCATAATTATCAAATTTATATCAAGTTTTTAATCCGAGGGTTGGATAAATAATTCTTTGCATCATAGTTGAATAAAACCACTAGTGAATAAGAATAAAGGAATATTAAAAGACATATGTGAACATATATATAAAACAAAATTAACTAAAATGCAAGGTTAAAAATGAAAGCAAATTCTATCAGTAATATTCTGTTTTATTTTTTAATTGCTGTTTATGTTTAAATGATCTTAGATTACTAGCAACTAATACATTTTAGAATCTTAAAGATTCATGCTGCGTTGTCTTTGAATAATACACGAAAAGTTTTTTAGCATTACTTAAAGGGATAATAACTCTTCGTGTGAGATCTATATTTCACAATAAAAATATTGTGAAGAACTCATAGAAATATAATATATTCTGTTTTACCACAAAAACGGCAGTTATAGTTATAGTGGTTATTCTGATATCTGAGCTTGTCTTTAGACCACGTGACCTCCATTGATGGCTATAATCTGTTAAATCTCTTAAGAGATTTTAACAAAAACCAAACTTTTTAGAAAAAAAAACAGGGACTAACTTTGAATGTAAAAATGGATTCATTAACCATTGGTAAGTATGGGGAAATTGTTGTTTACTCCAGGAAAATTCATTTTTCGGCCGAAACGAAGAGTTGTTATCCCTTTAAAGATTTCTCGCTTTTTGACACATTAGACATCTAATCTAAAAAAAAAATAAATAAATAAATCCAACAATGCACTTGATTTGAAGTACTCGTTTTAAAACATTTTCAAAAATAATGATATATATATATATAATATGATGATATATAATGACATAATGATAAATATAATATATAACCGTATTGAGACATAGATATAGGTGAATGTGTTCTTCACGATTGATAAGGCATCAACATAGAAGATATAATATAAAATATACCCATACCTTGTTCTTTGGGATCCACGGCTTTGGACATCATAGCTCGAATCATAGGTACGATCAGAAGTGCTAACATGCCAACTACGGTAACTAAAATATAGAAAGAAAATAGACGGTTATCTTAACGTAGCAACTTAACTTTAAACTTTAAAGCCCCTCCTGAAACGTACATAAAAAAAACACGTCCATGGCAGTAACATAGGATGTCTTCTTTCGTTTATCTTGAATATCAGAATTGTGCCTTACAAATATATAAAGTAACGTATCGTACATCCCCAAAACACATGCATTAAATACACGAATTAATGTTCCCAAAGTGAACACGTTTTTAAGCTCAGTAAAAAAATAGCAACGCTAAAAAACTGTGTGGCTGAAAGCATGTGCGAAGAAGGTACCACGATTCAAATAACTTGGGAAGTATGAAGAAGATCACTGGCCCTTCCAGCGCTTAAAACAATTTAATTAAAAGTCAAATTAAGAAAAACAAGAAACAAAGTAGAAATCCAATACCTAGAAACATCATGTAAGTTTTTGTGGCAAATCCTTCCAAGATTTTGGCGGCAACCGCACTCATTATGCCCACCATGGCAATACCGGCATCTGGAACACCGCACCTCTGCATTGAGAACAGTCCGCCCACACCCCCAATAGCCATAAACAGCGTCACACAGGCAAGGTAAATCCCTACTAGAACAGACGTCCAACAGAGAGGCTCTGAAATCTGGTACAGGATCTCTATGGTGTTCACCTGTACCGATTGCGCGGTTGCTACGAACAAGAGCGTGACGAAGAGCACGCGGAGTCGCCACGCTCTCTGCGGGTCGCTTTTCTTGGGAAGATAAACGGTGAAGACATCGGTGAAGTTCCTCTTATCCAATAACCGAGCAGAGGGGTCCTTGATGACTGTCTCGGGGATGAAGAAAAACGCGTACAGCCCAGCTACGAAAAACATTACAGTAATGGCAACGGTCTGCCACAGAAAGTTAGGACTGGCGTGGATCCAGTACCCAACCCCTACTTCCCCCAATGCGGCTCCGAACATCAGCATGCCATCTATGACGAAGATTCTGAATGCCCGCTGATCCTCGGTGGTTGTGTCAGCTACATAAGCCATCGAACCTAACAGCAATGTGGTGTAACCGCCAAAACACCCCGACACAAAGTTACTGATCAACATATAATACAGTTGGAGGTCTAAAAATATGATGATGGCATTAATACCGAGAGCCAGTGCTCCGCCTATACAGGGTAAGAGAATGCATGGAACCCGTCCTGCTTTATCACTATGTGCTCCAAAGATGATGGTGGCGATCACGCTTGGGAACATAGTGGCAATGCCTAGATACATGTTCCATCTGGCGGCTTCTTGCTGGATGAGCTGCTCTAAGTTGACACCACTGTCGTTGGTNCAGGGGGGTTAACCCCACTTTAAATATGCTTAGTAAAAAATGAATTAAATCCAACAATGCACTGGATTTGAAGTACTCGATGAGGTGCTCTAAGTTGACACCACTGTCGTTGGTGGGGACTCCGCAATGGGATCGGTGGCTGTGATTGCAGAACGATTCGTTTGGGAAAAGAGGAGCGTACCTTTCAGCGACTCTTTGGTACATGTATAGTGTCGTCAATGGGCCACAAGCAGAGCCTGCCAGGAAGTACAATAACACAGCTGGTTCCACGATGACCTTTCTCTTTGGGATAACTCTGGGACCGGCTATTGCAGGACTGATATCCTCTTTATATGTTCCCTTCCTTCTTTCCTCCTCCACCGACCTGTGAAACCGGTCGGAATATTCCAACGCGGCCAGGAGTGGTTCCACATCTTGCATCATGGTGAAGCCTTTCTATGTCTTGGTTTCTCGTAGTACTGTCAATGTAAAAAGTCGAAAACAATATCTTAATACTCGATTTAAAATCAAATATTAGCAATATATTGAAGTGATATCTGCGTCACGTGTCTGGCCAAAGATAGATACAATGGCGAGCATAAGCATGAGATCTAAATGACACTGCCAACCTTACTGCAAAATGGGACTCCATTGCTCCTAATGGAAAAAACCGATTGACTCCTTGACGTCCTGTTAAATATCTTACATTAATTTGATATGATATATGGAAGGATATTAAGGGCTGGCATTGACAACCCATACCTATATACATGTAGATATTGCATGATAGTGTTACACGTAACTGTGTTTAATACAGAAATAACAGAATCATTCCTATATATTTGTGATCAAAAACTTTATTGTCAAAGGAAGACATAGGCCCACGATCGGCTGTCACCTTGATTGGTTGTAAACGAAAGTCGTAAGATGACCATACATGTATGATTAATAAACCTAGTGCATAAACATGAAACCACATAACACAACCCTAGATTGCCATACTAGTCTACCATAACCCAAACATAGCGTGATAGGAACGTCTTTTCTCCCGCTTTGGAAGTTAAGGCAACCGTAAAGGGATGGCGAAGAAAATTAAGTTTCCGAGAGGAGTGTGCACGTTAAACGAACCGCCCTACTTCAGATCTGCCCATGAATTCTGTATGCGATGACTTAAGAGCAGTGGCAGATCCAGGTTTATATGACCCTCCCCCCCCTACCCTTGGCGTTGGGTTGGGGGTCCGCTGAGGGCCCCGAATTTTTTCTATTTTAGAGGGCGAACGTTGCCATTGAAGAGGTATCTGTTATGTCTCTTTGGGCTCAGGGAACGCCGTCACTTGAACACGCATGTCATCATGGTTGTGAACGGAGAAACAACTTTTCTTCACCATATTCTGTTTTCGTTCTCTGCTAGACCTTATGAAGTAATACCTAGAGAAAGAAGGGACATGATGAGATGAATGAATTGGTCGCGATATCAGGTATTGATAATTATAGTTTGAAATCCAAAAACCTATCTGCCATATTCAATTTTTCCCTTGAGTTACAGCGTATGGTACATAGGTTTGGTAACATTCCTGTAGTACTTGGCACAAAAATCAATTTTAAGAGAGTTTTGGAGTTTTTCTTGTTCATTGCTTTCTTAAAAAGATGGTTGGTTGGTCTTCTTAAAACTTGTATACTGCAATTGTTCTGTTAGCCTACATGTATTTTCAATCATTCTTATAAATAATTAAATGAAATTAATTTCAATTTTCATGTAGTGGTATGGAGTGAAATTTCTTGAAAATATAGTGAAATATTCACATCTGAGGTTTGCTATATTTTTATTTTGTTTGCATATGCATCTAGAGAAATTCCGTAGTATTTACTACAGAGCATACATTTTAGATACTTTTTGCCTCTTTTATGAAGTTGAAATGATCGCCAAACGCTGTATACGTTTTACAACTAAATTATAGCAAAATCAAATTATTTTGTTCTGTGTAATATTGTCCTGGGTATATCTTTACTCGATTAAAGTAACAGTTGATTATGACTAATAATTCCATTGCATAGGCCCTATACTTACAATATAGCAATTAGAGCTATTATATACATGCCAACCATTGTCAGGTAGACGGCGCCACGATAGTACATCACAGTGTATTCGTATACGGTAGAAAACAAGACGCCACCGAGCAGAGAGCAAGCACAGTCTATGGAAGCAATACTCGCAAATAAAGTGCCTAGAAAAAGTAATAAAAAGTTTAAACAATGTACGCACATTAAAGCAATACTTTTATTTGCTCGTAGTGTCCGAGGCCTACAACGGATTTTGGAAGCTCTTATAAATTTCACATAAAATAATGACAAGTGTTTGACGGCATTTGTGATATGCTTCCTATAACTTCCTTTACTTTCACCTGCAGTCACAATGACAATTGTGACTACGTAATAACAACAACAGTACTAGTAAAACCAAAGAATGTACTTTTGAAAGCAATGGCGAATTTTTGCATTGTTTTCCCATGCGTCTGAAGTACGATAGCCTGCACCGACCCCTGAACCACGATAACGTTCCGACGAGCATAGAGATATACCAGTAAGATGCGTTAATTTGTCTCTCATGAACACCGAGGTGATCGTTACAGAAAGCAAGGAGCTGCGATTTCCATCCCACCCCTATGCTTTTACCTTGTTCGTGAGCGGAGACCTGCTCGGACATGACGGCACGCAGCACGGGGACTAGGAGGATCCCAAGAACGCCAAGACCACCGGCTGAAAATGAATTGTAGATCTCTATACCCTCTTCTCCTCTCTCTCTCTCTTTCTCTCTCTATCTACGTGTGTGTGTGTGTGTGTGTGTGTGTGAGAGAGAGAGAGAGAGAAACGTATTAGAATATGCCTTTGTTTTGTTAATGTTAGCAGTGAAGACCTCTGTTTATTATTTTTCATCTACTTCTTAGCATTTTGATTCAATATTTGCATAACAGACGTATGGACAAAGAAAAGGGAACATGCACCCTTAAAAGATGCATGATGAAAATGTATAAAGGAACATTTTACTAAAACATTGATACAGCCAAATTATCTCCTACGTGAAGAACGGTATTCTTTCCCACTTACCAACGTACATTTCCCAGTCGTGGTTTGCAAATGCCACCATACCCTTCCAAAGTAAAGCGCTCATCGTACCGATCATCATTATCACGGGCTCGGGCATCTTACACCGCTTAAACAGTGGCAGCGTCAAGAGCCCAGCCACCTGTGTGGCAACGGAGACCGCCGCGGTATACCATCCAATCTTCGTAGACGTCCAACAGAACGGAAAGTTGAGTTCGTACAAAACGTCTACGGTGGACGTGGCCACGAGGGACATTGTCCCGAAGAGCATAGTGAAGCAAAGAGTCCGGATTTTCCAAACCCGTGACGGATCTTCTCCATTTGGTGCACGGGCGTACATCAGAAGCATTGCCTTGACGTTGTCCAGAGTGAAGAAGCGTGCTTCTGGATCTTTTTCTACAGTTTCTGTGATTAGAAAAAACGTGTATAAGGCAGATACCCCGTATAATACTGTAATGAATACTGTTGGTCCAAGGAAAGTTGGGTCAGCCTTAACCCAATAGCCAATGATCACCTGGGAAATGGCCGAACCAAGCCATAACATGACTTCTAAGACTAGAATTCTGAAAGCACGTTGCTTCTCCGTTGTGATATCAGCAATGTATGACATGCCCCCGATGAGGATAGTGGCGTAGTACCCGAACATACCTTCAATGACACAAGTGATAACAAGCCAGGAGATGTCCAGTTTGAAAGTGACCACGACGATGTTGCACACATTTTTGATGAAACTTCCGACACAGGGAAGCAGAATACAGAATTTCCGTCCTCCCTTATCGCTGTACGAACCATAAAACGTCGTGACGATTATGGCGGGAATCATCGTTGCTAGGCTGAACTTCTGAAGCCAGCCAGACGATATTTCCTGCACTAGTTGTTCCATCTTAACCACTGGGTCTGACGCGTTCAAAAGGCAGATGGAAATGTCCTCTGACTGGTTGCTATGGTACTGCTCGGGGTCGAAGTGAAGGTCGTCTGCTACCTTGGCGTGAAGGTACTGTGTTGCCAGTGGCGCCGTAGCAACTGTTCCCAGAAAATAAAGAAACATGACTGGTTCCACTGTTATTGGGCACCTTGGCTTGTATCTTGACGTTCCATGTTGAATCAGTGGCATTTTCTCGTTAGGACCTTTCTCAGTGGCTCCCAAGGAATCGTACTCATTGTCGTCCATTTTGGTTTGATTTTGTGGAATTAAGTCGCGGAGTCACCGTTTGAAAATTTGCTAATGAAGAAACACAGTTTTAATTTATTTGTATTTACATCTTGGCATTTTTTCACAATATTTACGAATCCTCGTTAGGCCACTTTTTTTATTTTTATGGATGACATCCTGCGCGCGCACCGATTTTCATCCGTTCTCCGAAAAAGAAAATTACCCCCAAAGAAGTCGGTTGTCGCAAACGTCCTTATTGAATTTTGCCGGAAAATGAGCTCTCTGCGCATGCGTATTATCGCTACCTGGAAATTGGCGGCTTTGTCGTCAAATTCATCTCTAGGATTGCTGATAAATTACACGACAATTAAAGTCATAAAGAGGACGGAGGCCGTCGTTTGGATTGGTATGTCATTGATATTGGGCATGGAGATATCACCTTTCTACAATTATACGAAAGGCTGGCGGCGGCCAGCGATTATCGCCCGTACTGTGTACTGACAGCTTTCCTTTACTAAAGTAGTTTTTTTTCTCCCTCTCGCACCGATTTCGGGGTCCCCAGAGGAAGTCATCCATAAAAATAAAAAAGTGTGGCCTTACTATTTTTCAGTTTAGTTTTCCTGTACAACTTAATGATAATATAAGGCTAACTTGTACCTCATCTTTGCTAAATATGAAACAGACATCAATTGAATTAAGCAAACTGCGTGTTAAAGTACAACTTAATCTTATTTAAAGAGGGTAAGAATGAGTTGACGTATATACAGCAAGTTATCAAAAATAGTCCCGTGAAGAATATCGCGTTGAAAATTACAAGGCTCCATTTCACAGTAAAACAAACAGAAATGAAAACTTACGTTATGAAACATCTGGCGAATGCCGACTTGAAAACTAGATTAATCCAAATCAAGATCAAATTCACCACGATCACAGTGAATCGGAATTTTTAACTTTCTCTGAACTTCAACTGCTCCATCCACGTTTGATCTATCACGTAGGCATCTTACCTAATAGTTATCGGTTATAATGTAGTTGGCAGACTCCAACCAAGCTGTGGTCACCTTTGTCCATTGTACATGTCCTTCTAATATCTTGCTGCAACTTTAACCGCGTGACAATGGAGACAATACAATCGGTAAGTGACCTGTTCTTGTTCCTAGTTTATAACCCCATTTAATTCGGTAACATCTCAAGTCGATATCAAATGTTACTAAATTTGCTGTGGCCAGGGATAAACTTCTGTTTTGTATGAAGAGGCAAAGGAGTAGTCAAATTTGGAACACTGTTGTCAAATTGTTGTCGTTATCCAAGATATAAATCTCTGCCTAGGCCTACTTTTGGGATAATATAAAGATATATACCTGTACCTGATTAGAAGGACACACAGTTACACTGTACTTGTCAACACAATGATGGTGCCCTCTTTCGCACGGATACTTGACGTACTTACAAATCACAACAACGTAACCAGTGACACTATTATTTAATCACCACACAGCAGTGATATTTGGGATATACGGTACACGGTACAGCAGACTTACATATCACCTACATGTATCAACTCCTTAGAGAATAGATGCACACAGAAGAAAGGGAACCCTATTTCATTTTGTCGGTTTATTCTCCCCCCCCCCACCACCACCTCCACACTCGCATTCCCTATACGCCACATTTTGTGCATCAAATATTCTATTTCAGATCCGTGTTAATTTGCGTGAGCTTTGGTCTTTCAAATCAGAGAAGAACATTTTATGTGACAATTTTATCGATGGCCTGCGCAACATCTCCACATTCTGCGCTGGGGAGTAGAAATAGATAGGTGATCGATGCACTAATATTATATGAAGACAAAGTTCACACACACTATACCGCCGCCTTCTCGTTAAATAATGATAAAGTCTTATCTCTTAACATGTTGACATCATAGGGACCATTCACATAACCCTATCGTACTAGCAGGGTCGATCTATCTCCGAGGGGATTCTCGCTAAATTTCGATCAGTTTAAGCGTGCAGCTTCAGTGGGCGTGACCGACATTTAAGCCGCTTAAACTGAATGCAATTTATTAAGAATCCCCTAGGAGTTAGATTGATCATGCTAGTACGATACGTTTATGGGAACCCATCCATATATGTGTATATATCTACACTGGTGCAAAATTGTACGGAATTGACCGATGTTAACCATATGGGGATGGACACCTGGATATATATATATATATATATGACGATAATTTCCATGAAGTGTGTAAATGCATAGTGTGTATTGGTTCGTTGGTAAAAATATTCAATTGTATACACTATAGAAGCTTGCATCTTTATTTTCTTTGTTTAAATAGCTCTTTTCGAACTTAAAGAAAACATTTCGATCACACTGGATTTGATTTGTGTTTTGTACAAGTGGTGCCGCCTGGCGATGTCACTCCTTCAAATTCAGTTATAACAACCAAGCTGAATTTTCTCATATTATCGATACAATAGGCGAAGGAACCTGAAAGGGGGGGCAGTACAGGGGGGTTAACCCCACTTAAAATATGCTTAGCGTTCTCCTGTGGTATATTTCCAACTTGTTTTATTGAACCAAGCAGCGCAGTCAGGTAAATGATAAAAGGGGATTAATAGAGATATATAGGCCAAAGTAAATTAAGCTAAGCCAGTTGATACAGTTTCAAATGCCCAGCATTTTATGCTTTATCATTTAGACACTTCTATTATCATAAATATGCTCTAGAGTTCTTAATTTTCCGGTAGAATTAGAGTGGAAACTTTGTTTGCCTCTGATATGGAAACTTACGATAGCAACTGACCGGCGTTGCGGTCTCAACCTGCCGTAGACTATACATCAGGTGACCAGTTCATCCAGGTCATTACAAAGTGAAAGGTTGATACCGCAATGTCGGTCAGTTGCCAATGGAAGTTCCAGTATCAGAGTTATGCGTAGTTCATATCTTCCAGAATATTCCACTGAACTATATAAGACGACTAAAACTCTGCTTCTGTCTCCCTCCATGTGTCTCTGATAGTGCCCCGCCCCGAGTCGCCTCCCGGTTTCGTCGAACCATAGACTGGCTCCTTGAAATACTTTGCGCTGATAAACGTTTCCTCGTCCTCCTGGATCTCCTTGAGTTCTGCGTAAGATGGCATCCGGGCACCGATGTTGTATATCCTGTTGAAAAAGAGGCATAAATGATCAAAATGCGAATCGTGTATTTATCACATTTTTAAGTAAGTTGTACCATCAGTGATCTTTTTGTTCCATGCCAACAAATTAAACTACGCCGTGCGAAGCCATTTTTTCTACTTTTAAGTTATTCAAATGTATGATTTCAATTAACATTAATTTTTTACGTGCCTGAACGAAAGTATTAGAAATATACTAAGTATTTTAGCTAATTTATGAATGTATACATTCACAAAGAAAGACCATGGTTCATAACAATGCAATAAAAAAAGGAAAAATTAAAAAAACATACACAAGAATAAGAAACGCCACCATAAACACGCCCGCTATACTGAAGAAGACAATTCCCTTGTAGATCGCCACAGTAGCGGAGTAGATAGAGTTGAAGATCACGTTGGCTAGAAGGGAACAGAGCGTCTCAATAGATGATACGCTGGCAAACAGTGTTCCTGTAAAATAGACATGGATGTGCTCACATTTGGCCATTTTCCTCATAATTATCAAATTTATATCAAGTTTGCAATCCGAGGGTTGGATAAATAATTCTTTGCATCATAGTTGAATAAAACCACTAGTGAATAAGAATAAAGGAATATTAAAAGACATATGTGAACATATATATATAACAAAATTAACTAAAATGCAAGGTTAAAAATGAAAGCAAATTCTATCAGTAATATTCTGTTTTATTTTTTAATTGCTGTTTATGTTCAAATGATCTTAGATTACTAGCAACTAATACATTTTAGAATCTTAAAGATTCATGCTGCGTTGTCTTTGAATAATACACGAAAAGTTTTTTAGCATTACTTAAAGGGATAATAACTCTTCGTGTGAGATCTATATTTCACAATAAAAATATTGTGAAGAACTCATAGAAATATAATATATTCTGTTTTACCACAAAAACGACAGTTATAGTTATAGTGGTTATTCTGATATCTGAGCTTGTCTTTAGACCACGTGACCTCCATTGATGGCTATAATCTGTTAAATCTCTTAAGAGATTTTAACAAAAACCAAACTTTTTAGAAAAAAAACAGGGACTAACTTTGAATGTAAAAATGGATTCATTAACCATTGGTAAGTATGGGGAAATTGTTGTTTACTCCAGGAAAATTCATTTTTCGGCCGAAACGAAGAGTTGTTATCCCTTTAAAGATTTCTCGCTTTTTGACACATTAGACATCTAATCTAAAAAATAAATAAATAAATAAATAAATCCAACAATGCACTTGATTTGAAGTACTCGTTTTAAAACATTTTCAAAAATAATGATATATATATATATATATATATATATATATATATATATATATATATATATATATATATATATAATGACATAATGATAAATATAATATATAACCGTATTGAGACATAGCTATAGGTGAATGTGTTCTTCACGATTGATAAGGCATCAACATAGAAGATATAATATAAAATATACCCATACCTTGTTCTTTGGGATCCACGGCTTTGGACATCATAGCTCGAATCATAGGTACGATCAGAAGTGCTAACATGCCAACTACGGTAACTAAAATATAGAAAGAAAACAGATGGTTATCTTATCGTAGCAACTTAACTTTAAACTTTAGAGCCCCTCCTGAAACTCACATATTTTTCAAAAAATTGGCCCATGGCAGTACCATAAGGTATATTCTTTCGTTTATTTTGAATATCAGAATTGTGCCTTACAAATATATAATACAGTATTATATCGTACATCCCCAAAACACATTTTTTAAGCCCAGTAAAAAAATAACAACACCACAAAACGGTGTGACTGAAAGCATGTGCGAGGAAGGTACCACGATTCAAATAACTTGGGAAGTATGAAGAAGAACACTGGCCCTTCCAGCGCTTAAAACAATTTAATTAAAAGTCAAATTAAGAAAAACAAGAAACATAGTAGAAATCCAATACCTAGAAACATCATGTAAGTTTTTGTGGCAAATCCTTCCAAGATTTTGGCGGCAACCGCACTCATTATGCCCATCATGGCTATACCGGCATCTGGAACACCGCACCTCTGCATTGAGAACAGTCCGCCCACACCCCCAATAGCCATAAACAGCGTCACACAGGCAAGGTAAATCCCTACTAGAACAGACGTCCAACAGAGAGGCTCTGAAATCTGGTACAGGATCTCTATGGTGTTCACCTGTACCGATTGCGCGGTTGCTACGAACAAGAGCGTGACGAAGAGCACGCGGAGTCGCCACGCTCTCTGCGGGTCGCTTTTCTTGGGAAGATAAACGGTGAAGACATCGGTGAAGTTCCTCTTATCCAATAACCGAGCAGAGGGGTCCTTGATGACTGTCTCGGGGATGAAGAAAAACGCGTACAGCCCAGCTACGAAAAACATTACAGTAATGGCAACGGTCTGCCACAGAAAGTTAGGACTGGCGTGGATCCAGTACCCAACCCCTACTTCCCCCAATGCGGCTCCGAACATCAGCATGCCATCTATGACGAAGATTCTGAATGCCCGCTGATCCTCGGTGGTTGTGTCAGCTACATAAGCCATCGAACCTAACAGCAATGTGGTGTAACCGCCAAAACACCCCGACACAAAGTTACTGATCAACATATAATACAGTTGGAGGTCTAAAAATATGATGATGGCATTAATACCGAGAGCCAGTGCTCCGCCTATACAGGGTAAGAGAATGCATGGAACCCGTCCTGCTTTATCACTATGTGCTCCAAAGATGATGGTGGCGATCACGCTTGGGAACATAGTGGCAATGCCTAGATACATGTTCCATCTGGCGGCTTCTTGCTGGATGAGCTGCTCTAAGTTGACACCACTGTCGTTGGTGGGGACTCCGCAATGGGATCGGTGGCTGTGATTGGAGAACGACTCGTTTGGGAAAAGAGGAGCGTACCTTTCAGCGACTCTTTGGTACATGTATAGTGTCGTCAATGGGCCACAAGCAGAGCCTGCCAGGAAGTACAATAACACAGCTGGTTCCACGATGACCTTTCTCTTTGGGATAACTCTGGGACCGGCTATTGCAGGACTGATATCCTCTTTATATGTTCCCTTCCTTCTTTCCTCCTCCACCGACCTGTGAAACCGGTCGGAATATTCCAACGCGGCCAGGAGTGGTTCCACATCTTGCATCATGGTGAAGCCTTTCTATGTCGTGGTTTCNCAAATTGGACAGATTTTGACCGATGCCTGGAATGTTATTCCAGATTGAACTTAAAAAACCTATCCCAAGGAATCCGTTGCCACTTGAGAGCGCTGGTAGCAGCCAGAAGAGGTCATGCGTAACAGCGGCCGTTACTGTGACTAGACACTGACATGAGGGTCCTTTGTGGAGCGTGTAACTCCTTTACAGACAATAATTTGGAAAATATGGAGGTCCAAAATATCTCTTTTAATGGTTGTCGTATGACATAGAATAGGCAATGTATTTTTGTTTGCTTCTCTGTCGAATTCCATTAATGAACTGATGTCACAATGACATCAAAGAGGTAATTTAAAGTTGTTAAAACCCGATTTTAATCCTTATTTTAATTTATCAGTCAGCTAAATAGGAAAAAATTGTTGAAAAATGATTTGGAAAAAAATATTCCATATTAAATGTCAAGTCTGTATGTTGGGAGTCGCCATCCCCAATTAAAACAACAAATTCAATGGCGACAACTGAACACGATACGCAACATCAGACAAAACCAATTATGTTGCATCTGTTACTTGATTGAACTTAATAATTTTGCTACATTAATGTATGTAAGAAAATATTCAAGCACTTAAAAATATCTGCTATTTGTATGCACTCGTACGGAGCACATGCAAGTAAAGATATAAAACAAAGTAAAAATAAATTAATACGTTTGGAGATAAAATTGAAAACAACACCCATTAAATCAGTTAAGTGGCCATGATGTATTTACCCAATACTATTGTGCACAAATCGCACGGTGAACCAGAAAATGAAATAAGTAATTTAAGTGTTTACCTGTATTCAGTTTAATTCCTGCTTTCCCTTCCTGTGTGTCGACTGAATCAGCGAGACTTGTCGAACACTCCGGGTGTCTATAAACTGAGGTTATGTTTACAAACTGCAGATACACAGACTATCACCCTGATTATAAAGCTAATCTTTCGACCCCAGATTTTGCCGATAGCATGGAATCTGAAGCGTTCAAGCCACCATTGGCGGAGAACGTCTGCGCATGCGCGGTGTAGTTCAGTCAACGGTGTAAAATGTGCCGAGCGAAATTTAAAAAGAAGTTTTAGTGGAAACGTTGTCAGTTTTATTTTCTTTTTTACATCACTGGCTATAAAAGCCAGTCAAAATATGTTTCACGCAAAGTATGCCTTGAAGGCCTAGGGGAGAGCACATGTCCAATCTTTACTCGTGGTTCGAAAAAGGGAGCGGCTTACAGAATTAAAATAACAACGTGAGACCTAAAAACATTTTTCAAAATAATGAACAACGAACTCTCACAAGTCCAATATTTTTTATCATTTTGAAGAGTAACAGCATTTATATTATATTTACCGAAAAAGGGTTCATTTTGCATTCGTACCTGCGCAAAGGTTGATACGTATAGACGCGTGACTCGAATTCCATGGTATAATGAAAAGAATCAGTGTGATATTCAGGGTGGCAATTATCAGAACATGTATATGTAAATAGAGAATGATAAGAACAATTTCACCATGTCACTGTCATATGATGGATATCACATTTTGCAAATAATCTCGATTAATAATCCATATCAGAGACGGGAAATGATTTTAAACTCACACAGCCATTGTCAATTCCTACTGTGTACCTACATTGTAAAAAAATCAAACAATTTTAAGAACGCAAAAATGCATTTGAATGCACATGTATTTCACCTAAAAATACAAATATCAAAATGGTGAAATTGAGTGTTTTGGAGATTATGGTGGCATAGTGATTTGAAGACTTTGGTGGAATTACTGGCGCGATTTTCAACATGAAAACAGATTTTGGTCACGCTTTCGAGTCCAATATCGAGCATTTTAATTCCTCATACACTGCACACTACACCAATATGCTTTGTATCATTTTTTATTTTCACTTTTGACAATTAAAATGTGTTACAATCTAACGCCAAAGCAAACCTTTTTTGCGTGATCTCAATTTTTGAATTTTCTTAACACTCACCAGGTTTAAATTATTCAAAACTCGCTTTATTTTCATTTATGTTGGCCCTTAAATCGTTTTAAATTTTATCCTTCCCATATAAAGTTGTCGTGAATTAGAGAGACTGCCTAACTGCAATACGATATATACACTGCTACATGTATATACTTTCAAAAAGACTCTAAATCCCCCTATCCAAAATTATTTACAAATCGTTTTCACCTAAAGTAATACAGCCTTCTTCATGTGATATTAAAAATAATGCTGTTTTGTCTTTTTATAGAGTGGGACCCGTAACAAGAACTGAAAAATAATCAAAAGTGCGCCTTAGGTTGTAAAATAAGACCACTAAGCCATTTAGTACATGGATCAAACGATGACGTCTCAGCAAGATTTGACAATTCATTCAACTGGTTCCAGGCATTTCGTTATAAATTAAAAGTCTTGATTTAAAGCTAAGCAATCTCTATCAACACACACACGCACACAAAAAATCGAAAGATAAAATGATCACTTTCATCATAATGCTTATAAAGGTTTTTAAATTCATGAAGAGTGCAGTTCAGTCTAAAAAATGATAAAACATTTCACTGCATGGCGTTCATTTTCTTTAATTTGCAATCAAAAATAAGCCGAGTTTCGGTTTCGAAAAGCACGATTAAACATTAAAAGGAAGCACCTTAGACCCGAAATAAAGTTTAATTTAACAACCTTTGCAACATCTTATCATTCCTTTTAAGTTTGTTTTCGGGATGGGATGATATATACAGTGAGAGTAGAAGTAGTATTACACATATCCTACTGAGCGGATAAAACCGCCTTTACGCTGGATGGTTTATCTATATATTTACCTTTATGCGTCATTTGTGTGACCATGAAACTGGCAGCCTAGTGGTCGTAGAAAGGAGGCACAAGCATCCCTTTGGTTGCAAAATCAATGCTAAATAATTGGCCATTTGCCGGAACTTAAAGTATAATTATTTTTTTCTCTAAAACGGCGCCGCACTATAGGACGCAGAAATGTCGCCGTCCAGTGTAAAGGGGGCTTTAGATAGACGGGCAACAGTGGAGAAGTTCGAGACTACAGTTCACATAGCAATCTGATCAAGGGTCTGTGTCACAAAAATAAAAATACTTAATCCACAAAAATGTTGGTCTATTTTGAATCAAAATAAACCGGTATTAGTCGGATCAATTGTAATGCTGTGCCAGTTTTACGGCAAGAAAAAAACATGATTAACGTTTCAACCCAACACCTACTCGTTTTATTTACGTGCACTATTTTGGATTTATCTTGAAGTGATATACCCCATGTCTTCTCATCTCTAAAAGTTCATACCATTTTCATGGCTAATGTTCTTTTGTGAAGCCAGCCCCCATGCTTCACAGCTACTATGAAACATTCGATTCATTCTCGTTGCTTTCAACCAGTTCTCCTGGGTGTACAGGATCCTCTGCTACACTGCTGTACGCACTGCTAGACTGGCAGGAACTGTATGAGCGCTTCAATACGTCTCCTATCTTCAAACTCTCCCTACCGGGTCTACGCCGCCTGCTGTAGATGACATGAACGCTGGAAGAGAAACAGTACAGCAGCAGTCACATTTTGTCTACGTCTTCTTCACTTCTTGCTCCAGAATTTTACAAAGGGTTGTTTATTTATTTATTTATTTATTTATTGGTCCTTGCACTAGGGAATGGTATATTTGAATTTGGATGTGTAAAGAGTGCATGGATAAAAGTACTGGGTAAACAATGTATGGATATATGAACCAAGAACAATCTAACAAAGAAACTGATCACTGCGGGTTCAAATATACCTTATTGTATAATGTTGCTATATTTGGCCTTGTATTGTGAGTCCTTTCTTTTAACTCATCAGCATAATGACTACAGGGGGAGGACAGGACACGGTAGAAAAGGGGCCATTTTATCGTCATATCCTGAGACTGCCAGTGAAGACAATCAAAGTACAGGTATACTCACCACAACAGCAGAAACCCCATGCATAAGTATGCGGCCACTGCGAGGAACACGGCCCCGTTAAAGATGTCAACAGTGGCCGAGTACACGGGATAAAATGTCACACTGGACAGCAAAGCACATAAAGTCTCTACAGCAGCTACGCTGGCAAAGAGAGCTCCTGGAACCAAAGACATATATTAAGGTTACCTTGTATCAGGGCCACACTGATTTTTTACTAGATATTAACAGATATAACTCCGGTTAAATAGATGGCTAATTTCTGCACCTCAGCAAAAATGTCCGCAGAATAAAAATTGCGTCACTGGTGGAGGGTATAATAAGGTAGTGGACAGGCTTCATGTATCATGTGGTTTAATTAAAGAAGCACTGACCAACGTTGAACCATTTTTGTAGTGAATTTCAATGAATGGACCTGAGTGATATTGACAGTGTACCTTTGGTCATTATAAACCAACCATTTCGCTATGCGAAGTACCGTGTACAACCACTCATCAAGGTTATGTCCGGGGCTGCCACAAAAGAACTTACGACCGAGAGTAAGTGTAATTTTCAAAACCGAAATATCTTTGTCAAGGTCAATTCAGGATACAGACAAGGTTACACATAAAGTGGCAATTGATCTAACACATTTAACGCTGTACATGTAACGCGTGCAATGGCTTATTTTTGTGGAATATTTCTAATCTAATACAGTATACAAAATTGACGTATGAGCGATACAAAATTGTTTAACAGACCACTAGCGCACCCTGTGGTCAGAGAGTAAGTGAGGTATACCTTGCTTCTTTGGGTGAACGGTCTTTGACATCTGGGCCCGTATCATAGGAATAATTAGTAGTGCCAGCATGCCCAGAACTGAACCTGGAAATTATTAATTGCTGTAAGTAATTGGTGGTGATGTGTAATATTTAAGGGTGAAATAGTCACGATTACCAACAAAATTAAGAACTTAATTTGAATTAAGAACAAACATTATGAGGGGTATTGCAATTATACAAATTTAAGGCATGCAATGCAAGCTCTTTTTCGTGTCATCATTCATGTCATTGATTCTAACTAAGATATAAGGGCAGCAAAAAAAAATACAGTTCGCCAACATGATTCCTTATTATAATTTTAAATTGATCGCTACGTTCCTGAAACACATGCAAAACATTTTGAATAATAGAATATAACAGAAAATTAGTCGATTGTTGTTAACATTACACAGACCTTACTAACTGAAAACCGAGTATTTTACACATACTTACTCACAAACATAAGTTCGGTTTTGTTGGCAAACGCTTGAAGTACACTTGCTGCCATTACGCTTACTAACGCAACTAATGCTATACCAATATCAGACATCTTCCACCAATGTTGCATGACAAATAGTCCCAGCGCTGCTCCAAATGCCATCAAAACCATGGTACTGGCCAAGAATGTGCCAAGCAGTTCGGCATCCCAGCAAAAAGGTCGGTTCAACACGTAGAAGATTTCAATGGAAATGATCGGCGGAGATAGCACCATGGCAACGAAGAGAAGAGATGCAAAGAGAATACGGAGTTTCCATTTTCTGCGACCCGTAGTTCCGTTGCCGCCGGTTGTCACGCTGTTCTCTGTGGTGTATATAGATACCACGGATGCTATATTTTTGACAGAGAAAAGCTTCGCCGTTGGCTCTTGTTTTACGGTTTCGGGCACAAATAGCACCACATATATTGCAGTCACGGTTAACAACGCTCCAATGACAAGGGCCTTGGATAAGAAAGCGGTATCACTTTGATTATCTAGAGCTATCCAGTAGTCCACGCTGACCACTCCAATAGCAAAGCCTAAAAGTACCAAGCAGTCAAGAACCAAGATCCTAAATCCCCTTTGTCCATCTGTAGTGGTGTCCGCCGTGTAGGCGATGGCACCAAGGAAAAGAATGGTGTAGCCACCGAGGGAACCACCCAGAACATTGCTAATCAGAAGATACTCTAATGGTAGATCTAGTTGGACGATTAAGGCGGTGATGCCCAGGTACAGGACTCCACTGAAACAAGGGAGGAGCAAATAAGGTTTTCTGCCCGCCCTGTCACTATGCGCACCAAAAACAACGGTTGAAATGACGCTCGGTATCATGTATGCAATGGTGAGGTACATGTTCCACATTGCCGCATTTTCCTGAATCAACCTGTCGTTCGTCGTCTGGTTTTTGTCACAAAGGGACACACTGGAAGAATTGCTGACGGTAACATTAACGTGAAAGCGTTCATAAACTTTTTTCTCCACGTAAAAAATCATCAGTGGACTGCAGGCTGCGGCGGCCATGAAATAAAGAAACACAACCGGTTCAACGATGATGCGTCTCTTGGGCTTGACAGGCGGTTGTGGTATTTCTTGGTCTTTCAGAGAATTCCGCGGGGACTGTAAGTGGCGCTGGGGAGGATCCATGAAACTGCTCTCGGTTTCTACAACGCCATCTGTCGATTGTTCTATTTGTTGCATCTTGGTGTCGGGAGGAATTATGCTGTTCTTGGTTCATCAATCAGTGCTCTATGTAGGTCGGTATTATTTGCGTCGGGTCGACTACAACATAATAAGAAGATAAAATAAATGCAATTATTCTGACATAAAAATTATTGCGGGCATTTTTGTGACACATTTCTTGTACGAAATAATCATAATGCATGTTATCTTACAGACACCTAGCGCCATTATTGTTTTTCGCGCTTACTCAAATCAGGTCGTAGTTTTGCCCAATTAATGCTAGTTCTGATAGTTATGATCATTACAGATATGCCCAATGTTTGAAATCGGTCTAATGATAAGAAGTTATAATAATAAGGGAACTGGCGTACATAAAATTACATTTTATAAAAGCATATCGAGGAACGAGTGTCTTGTGGTGGTAGTATTATTGGTCTGCTATAGGGTCTACCTATAATTCAAGGAACCCTCTTGCTCTGTACCAGGGCCACAGTGAGATTTTTTTCACTAGATATTTGCTGATATATCTCTGGCAGCTGTACACTGGCTGTGCACATTTCTGTACTGTGAGGATTTTTGCTCAAAAATTATGCCATAACTCAGCTGGGTTATGGCAGAGAATGCGACCTCGTGTACAGTACTCAAAATGACCAGAGTTCAAGAATATTAACGTTGAGAGTCTATGTAATACCAGTAAACGATTTGAACAGATTAGGATATATCTTTAATTGGCAGTTGTAATACCACCAAAGGTAATTTGAAATGAGACAATAAGATTGAACGCATATTAATCAGCCGATTAATCAGGATGGCTAATTTAATTCGGAACTGTGAACTCCAGTTTGTCTATACAGCAATATGCCTATCTATTGTACATTAGATGTGTAGATATGATAGGGGTAAAGCATCCTCTTTCTTTCCTCTTTCTTTTCTTTTTTAATGTACATTCGAAGATATCAAACGAAACCAATCTATTTGTGCATCCTTTAGAATTCCTTTTGAAACGTTCTCCTAATTTATGTAAATCCTACATTACAACCCCTTCATCATAGGTAATAAAATGGCTTACGATGACTTCTAGTTTCTTTCACATACGTAGCTGTGCTTGTTAAACAGCATGTAGAAATCATATACCATGTAAACTGGTGAGGTTAAAGAAGATCTTCAGTTAATCGTATGTGGCAAAGGGTCATCTGAAATCGCCACAAAACGGAACAATCGAAACTTTTATTGTGAATACCAACACCGGTCGGCTGTGATGACAAGCAAAATACCCAGCTTTAGTTCTGTACCATCGCTGTTTCTAATACCCACCTGTTTTGATCAGGCTCAAATGAAAAGTGTACCAATAATAAATCGATCTTCATTTCTCAATACTGCCTAGTTTGCATTATTATATCATATTCTCACTTACCTGGTGTTTTTGTTTTCTGTAGTAAGCTATATCACTGGTATGTATATTATGTCCTATCGATGCCCAATGATCAGGAGAGATATTGCAACCCGCAGATAAACAGAAATGTTATCACCTAATTACTAAAGGGCACACCGGCATTGTTTGCCTACAATACAATGACCCATATAAAAGCCTCTTCATTGTTTTTTTTTTTCAATTGGTGGTTGGGTGGGGTTAATTCGTGCGTTTTGTGGTTAATATAGGCGTTAGTGCTCAAAGATCTGCGGGTAGTGTTAGTAAACGCCTATGATCCGTTTATAAGACCTGCATGGGGAAGGAGGGGATGACCGCTCCTCATTTAACCCCACCCCAGAGAGGTTACAGACCCAGCTTCTAAACCCTTTTTCTTACATAACATTTTATGGCAGAAACATTTATAACGTTCTATAACAAATTATTGAGTCAAACCTTACACGTATCAGAGTAATGGCAGCCCATTGTTTCTGAGGATCTGCCGATGTATGAGCACTATTCGTTAGTGAATTTCTAGTAAATTGTAATGGAATACTTTTGAGTTTTCAAATAAGTAAGTTCTCTCTTTCTCTCTCTCTCTCTCTCTCTCTCTCTCTCTGTGTGTGTGTGTGTGTGTGTGTGTGTGTGTGTGTGAGCGTTTTCTCTAAATATTTTTTGACATTGTCTATGGGATCCAAACTTTTTGGGAGGAAAAATCGGACTCATCCGTGTTTTTCGTCGTTAGACATTAATCTGATTCTTATGATGCATATTTTGAAACACTTCATTTCAAGTTAGTTTTCTCGGTAATAAGTATATTTTTTTGCGTGATCCCAATTTTTGAATTTTCTTAACACTTACCAGATTTAAATGATTCAAAACTCTCTTTATTTTCGTGTAATGTCGGCTCTATTGTCATTTTTAAGATTGTCGTGAATTAGAGAAAAACAAACGGCGATATGTACACTGCTATACACTTTAAAAAATGCTCTGAAACCCCCTATCCAAAATTATTTACAAATCGTTTTCAACTACATTTGTAAATTAACACAACCTTCTTAATGTGATATTAAAAATAATGCTGTTTTGTCTTTTTATAGAGGGAGACCCGTTACAAGAACTGAAACATAATCAAAAGTGCGCCTACAGATGGAAAATAAAGAAAGTACAAAGTCAAATAAGCCATTTAGGACATGGACAAAACGAGGACGTGTCAGCAAAATGTTTACAATTTTTCCAACTGATTCAAGGCATTTCGTTATAAATTAAAAGTCTTGATTTAAAACCTAAGCAATTTCTAACAACACAAAAACATAAGATGATCACTATTATGATAATGATTATAAAGATTGTCACTCTTGAAGAGAGTAGTTCAGTCCAAAGAAATGATAAACATCAGACTGCATGGTGTTTATTTTCTTCATTCTGCAATAGAAAATAAACTGAGTTTCGAAATGTCCGATTAAACATTGAAAAGAAGCACCTGAGACTAGAAATAAAGTTTAATTTAACAACCTTTGCAATGTCTTATCTTCCACTTAATCTTTATTTTCGGGATTGGATGATATAAATAGTGAGAGTAGAGGTAGTATTACATATATCCTACTGCGCGGATAAAACCGCCTTTACACTGGCTGGCGTCCTTTCTGCGTCCTTTGAGCAACCATGAAACTGGCAGCGCTGTGATCGTATAAAGGAGGCATAAGAATCGATTTGGTTGCAAAATGAATGCTCAATGATCAGCCAGTTGTCGTCAAGTAAAGTATTTTTTTTTACTCTCAAACGGGGCCGTACTACGGGACGCAGAAAGGACGCCGTCCAGTGTAAGGGGGGCTTAAACTGGCAACAGGGGAGAAGTTTGGAACTACAGATCACATAGTATTCTGATCAAGGGTCGACAAAAGTTTTGGTCTTCACGCCAAGTCTTTGGATTTTAAGACAAAAGTAACCGGTATTAGTCAGATCAATTGTAATGCTGTGCCAGTTTTACGGCAAGCAAAAACATGCTAAACATTTCAGACCAACACCTGGCCTTATAAAAACGGATTAGGCATTTACTAACACTACCAGCACAACTTTTATCACTAACGCCGATACTAACCACAAATTAACCAACACACCGCACAGGTATTTAATTAGCACCAACAAAACGATACCTAGCACTAACATTCATCCGCTATGGTAGTGCCGGTTAATTTGTGAGTATCTGGTTAATGTGGGTGTTAGTGTTAAAAGATCTGTGGGAAGTGTTAGTAAACGCCTTCCGTTTATCCGTTTATAAGGTATAAATACTCATTTTATTTACGTGCACGACTTTGGATTTATCTTGGGGTGATATACCCCATATTTCTCATCTCTAAAAGTTCAGACCCTTTTCATGGCTAATGTTCTTTTGTCAAGCCACCCCCCCAACTGTGATTGGTCCCCATGCTTCACAGCTACTATTCGATTCATTCTCGTTCTCGATTCTATTCGATTCATTCTCGTTGCTTTCAACCAGCTCTCCTGGGTGTACAGGATCCTCTGCTACACTGTTGTACGCACTGCTAGACTGGCAGGAACTGTACGAGCGTTTCGACACGTCTCTTATCTTCAAACTCTCCCTACTGGGTGTACGCCGCCTGCTGTAGATGACATGAAAGCTGGAAGAGAAACAGCACAGCAGCCGTCATGTTTCGTCTACGTCTTTTTTACTTCTTGCGAGTTCAAATATACCGTATTGTATAATGTTGCTACATTTGGCCTTATATTTTGAGCCCTTTCCTTTAACTTCCTAGCATAATGACTGCAGGGAGGACAGGACACTGTAAAAAAAGGGACCATTTTTTCATCATATTCTAAGACTGCCAGTGAAGACAATTAAAGTATACTGACCACAACAACAGAAACCCCATGCCAAAGAGTGCGGCCACCGTGAGGAACACGACCCCGCTAAAGATGTCAACCGTAGCCGAGTACACGGTACCAAATGTGACACTGGCCAGCAAGGCAGATAAAGTCTCCATGGCAGCTACGCTGGCAAAGAGAGCTCCTGGAACCAAAGACATATAATAAGGTTACTCTCTACCAGGGCCACACTGATTTTTCTCTAGATATTAACAGATATGTCTCCGGTTAAATAGATGGCTAATCTCTGTACCTCAGCTAAAATGTCAAAAAAAAAAAAAAAAAAAAAAAAAACTGGAGGAGTGTAAAGTCGTGTACAGACTTCATATATCGTGCGGTTTCATTAAAGAAGCACTGACCAAAGTTGAAGCATTCTTGTAGTGAATTTCAATGAATGAACATGAGTAATATTGAGAGTGTACCTTTGGTCATCATATGTGAAGTACCGTGTACAACCACTCATCATGGTTCTGGCCGGGGCTGTCACCAAAGAACTTACGACCGAAAGTAAGTTCAAATTAAATTTCAAAACCGAAGTATTTTAGCCAAAGTCAATTCAGGATACACAAAAGTTAATGCATAATGTGGCAATTGATCTATCATATTTAACACTGTACATGTAACGCGTGCAATAATATATCTTATTTTTGTGGAATATTTCTAAACAATGCTGGCCCAATATTGCCTTTAATTTTTGGTCTCAAAATAATCTCGGTCAGACGTTCTTTTGCAGAACCATCTCTCCCTGGCGTGACACGACAGTAGGGTATACCCTCTGATATCGGGGGCTTCTAATGCATTATGCAAAATTAAATTATGAGCGCAAAATTGTTTAACAGACCACTAGCGCACCCTGTGGTGAGAGAGTAAGTAAGGTATACCTTGCTTCTTTTGGTGAACGGTCTTTGACATCTGGGCCCGTATCATAGGAATTATAAGGAGTGCAAGCATACCCAGAACGGAACCTGAAAATTATTTATTGCTGTAGATGTCGTTAGTGATAAATAATATTTTAAAGTGAAATAATTATGATTCATAAGCAAAAATAAGAAATTTATCTGAATTAAGAACAAACATATTATGAGGTACATAGGGATTATATGAATTTAAGGCATGCGATTTTAAGCAAGCTCTTTCCATATTATCATTCGTTTCGGTGATTCTAACTAAGATATAAGGCCAGCAGGGAAATCAGGAAAAATACAGGTAAGTTCTACTTCATTTTTATAAAATTGTCTACTTTGAAATTGATGGCTACATGCCTGAAACACATATAAAACATTTAGAAAAATAGAATATAACAGAAAATTAGTAGATTGTTGTTAACCTTACTAATTGAAAACCGAGTATTTTTAACATACTTACTCACAAACATAAGTTGGGGTTTGTTGGCAAACGCTTTGAGTACATTTGCTGCAATTGCGCTTATTAACGCAACTAATGCTATACCAATATCAGACATCTTCCACCAATGTTGCATGATAAAAAGTCCCAGCGCTCCTCCAAATGTCATCAGAGCCATGGTACTGGCCAAGAACAAGCCAACCAGTTTGGCATCCCAGCAAAACGGTCGGTTCAACACGTACAAGATATCAATGGAAATGATCGGCGGAGATAGCGCCACTGCAACGAAGAAAAGAGATGCAAATAGAATGCGGAGTTTCCATTCTTTGCTACCCTTAGTTCTTTCACTGCCGCCGTTGCCGCCGGTGGAAACGCTGTTCTCCGTGGAGTAAATAGAAACAACTGCTGCTATATTTTTGACAGAGAAAAGCTTCGCCGTTGGGTCTTGTTTTACGGTTTCGGGCACAAATAGCACCGCATATATTGCGGTCATGGTGTACAACGCTCCAATGGCTAGGGTCTTGGATAAGAACGCGGCATCACTTCGTTTATCTTGAGCTATCCAGTAGTCTACGCTGACCACTCCAATAGCACCGCCTAAAAGCATCAAACCATCAAGAACGAAGATCCTAAATCCTCTTTGTCCATCTGTAGTGGTGTCCGCCGTGTAGGCGATGGAACCAAGGAAAAGAATGGTGTAGCCACCGAGGGAACCACCCAGAACATGGCTAATTAACAGATACTCTAGTGGTAGATCTAGTTGGACGATTAAGGCGGTGATGCCCAGGTACAGTACTCCACTGAAACAAGGGAGGAGCAAACAAGGTTTTCTGCCCGCCCTGTCACTATGCGCACCAAAAACAACGGTTGAAATGACGCTCGGTATCATATAAGCAACGCTGAGGTGCATGTTCCACATTGCCACATTTTCCTGAATCAACCTGTCGTTCGTCGTCTGGTCTTTGTCACAAAGGGATACACTGGCAGAATTGCTGACGGTAACATTAAAGCGTTCATAAACCTTTTTCTCCACGTAAAAAATCATCAGGGGACTGCACGCTGCGGCGGCGATGAAATAAAGAAAAACAACCGGTTCAACGATGATGCATCTCTTGGGGGTGACAGGCGGTTGTGGTATTTCTTGCTCTTTTAGAGAACTCCGCGGGGACTGTAAGTGGCGCTGGGGAGGATCCATGAAACTGCTCTCGCTTTCTACAACGCCATCTGCCGATTGTTCTTTTTGTTGCATCTTGGTGTCGGGAGGAGTGATGCTTGGTTCATCAATCAGTGCTCTATATAGGTCGGTATTATTTGCGTTGGGTCGACTACAACATAATAACACAATAGAAATGCAATTATTCTAACATTAAAATTATTATATTTACATTATTATATTTATTATATTTTATCATTTTTTACATTATTATATTTATATATAACACATACTGTACGAGGGCCTCTGTGGGATTTTTTTCACTAGATATTCACGGATATATCTCTGGCTGTACAGTGGCTGTACACATTTCTGTACTGTGGGGATTTTTACACAAATATTACGCAATCACTCAGCTGGGTTATGGAAGAGAGTACGACCTCGCGTACAGTAGTCAAAATGACCAGAGATTCAGATCAATAACGTCAAACAGATTAGGATATACCTTTAATTGGGAGTTAAAGCTATAATACCGCCAAAGGTAATTTTAAATGAGACAATCAAATTGAACGCATATTAATCAGCCGTTTAATCAGGAAGGCTGATTTCAGAACTGGTTTGCCTCTATATCTATTTTACGATAAATGTAATGATATGATAAGGGTAAAGCATCACCCCTCCATCATAGGTAATAAAATAGCTTACGATGACTTCTAGTTTCTTTCACATGTAGCTGAGCTTGTTAATCAGCATGTAGAAAGTGTCATGTAAACTGGTCAGATTAAAGAAGATCTTTGGTTAAAGGGATAATAACTCTTCGTATGAGATCTATATTTCACAATAAAAACATTCTGTTTTACCACAAAAACGGCAGTTATAGCTATTATTCTGATATCTGAGTTTGTCTTTAGACCACGTGACCTCCATTGATTAACAAAAAACAAAACTTTTTAGAAAAAAAAACCAGGGACTAACTTTGAATGTAAAAATGGATTCATTAACCATTGGTAAGTATGGGAAAATTGTTGTTTACTCCAGGAAAATTCATTTTTTGGCCAAAACGAAGAGTTATTATCCCTTTAATCGTATGTGGCACAGCTGTGATGACAGGCAAAATGACCAAGCTTTAGTTCTGTAGCCTCGCTCTTTTTTATACTCACCTGTTTAGATCAGGCTCAAATGAAAGGGGGACCAATAGTAAATCGATCATCATTTCTCAAAACTGCCTTATTACATATATACTATGAATTCTCACTTACCTGGTTTTTTTGTTTTCTACAGTGAGCTATATCATTGATATGTACAACGTGTCGTATCAAACTACATGTACCCCGTGATCAGGAGAGATATTTCAACCCACTGATAAACATCAATGTTATCAACTAATTAGTAAAGGCGACACTGGCAGTGTTTGTCTACAATACAATAACCCAAATAAAAGCCTCTTCATTGTTTTTTTTATTAATTCATGGTTGGGGTGGGTTAAATGAGGCGCGTGCAGTGCCTGCTTCTGTATTGACAGCACACGATGCATTTGCCTTTCGCACAGAAAATGTTTAATGAGCACACTTACGGTCTTTCAACTCAGTCCTAGGATCCAATTTATACAAATGTGGTTGATTCAGTGGGGAAAAAGAAGGAATATTTTTTACTCATTTCATTATCTTAAATCTGCTAAAGAATATTTTTGAGAATATAGTTAAATATGCAGAGTGATTCAATTACCACACTCTCAGAACTTCTTAATAAAATTTCACTTTTGAGTTACCACTAGCCTACATCGATATCATAGCGCTTCTGGCAGATCAAAGGATGCGTCTTACTAGCTACGTATACTGTGTACAAACTCGATGGAGACTCTTGCTGAATGGGGCGCTTGTTAAATAAAAAGACAAATTCCTACTTGAACAAACCTAGAAAAAGATACCGAGTGAAAATTCGTAAAAAAAATGTTTATATAATTTACAATGTATAAAAAGTCTTGACCGGATCAAGGAAGTGACCGGATTCATAATACCATGCCTTTAAGTCAAAGCCCTACTGGAGCCTGTTAGGCCGAGAAAGTCAGATTTGACAGAAGGATTATCATATTTCGGAAGTTTAGGGAGATAAACGCCAAATAATTTGACGTGTATCTATCTATACAATATCATTAGGCCTATAAAAAGAGAAACAGCATAGGTCAGTATCCAACTGTGCAGAAGAAGCAGCAATTACATAAGCTTCCCGGGCTTTTTAGAAAGGTTACAGATAAAGCTCCTAAACTCTTTTTTCTTACATAGCATGGAAGAAACATGTAGGCATATGGCGTTCAATAAGTTACTGAGTCAATCCTTTCACGTACCAGAGCAATAGCAGCCCAAGGGGGAGGCACTTAATTAATTCGTGCGAGTGTCCCTCACATAGTTTCTGAGGAATTGCCGATGCATAAGTACTATTCCGTAGTGAACTTCAATTAAATTGTAATGGGATACTTCTGAGTTTTCAAATAAGTAAGTTCTCTGTGTGTCTTCTTTATTCATTCTTATTATAGGCTACTTTTTTTTTGATAGGGTCAATGGGATCCAAACTTTTTTGGAGGAAAAATCGGACTAAACCATGTTTTTCGTCGTTACACATTAATCTGATCCTTATGATGCATATTTTGAAAAACTTAATAAATAATCAATAGTATTTGTGATGGGAGAAGGTGAGAAACGTTACACATAGGGAAACTTGTCCCGTGAATGTCTCATTGCATTTGTTGTGATTTTGAGTTGCGAAAATTGCTACAGGAAGTGAGGCCAACTACGCATGCGTCATTGTAAGCCATTGACCTGTGACCTAGTTCAGAGTTTGACACAAGACTTCCCTCAACTTCTTAGTTATTCTTCCATGGCGCTGTGAGTTGGCGATCATATGCCAAAACCAGGTAAGGAAACTATATCTGTACAATCTCTATAAAACGTGTTACTTTTGATCACAGGGATAATGCGTGAAATGAAATACAGTTGCCGGGCGACAGAAAGGTCTTATGCCGACTGCGGCAAGTAGCACCCCAAAGTAAATGTAACAACGGGAGTGTTCTGTATTTTTTATTTGTTTTGAAGACATGATCATGCCCATATCGTAAAATATAGCAACGTAGTTTCCGTTTTAAGAACTCCTTTAGTTGGTCCTTTACCAATATGTTTACCGGCACATGTTCAACGTTTTTGTCCAGTGCCAAAACGCCTCATTGCTTTACTATTGTTATATTGTCCGAATCACAGCGGAGCCTTTGTTAACATTCACAACAGAGTCGTTGTAAACAGCGGGGTTTCTATGCCGTGTAACTGCTGGCTGTCTATTTTCAACTTTTTAAGCATGTGCACATGATCAGAAGACATTTTCAGTTCCTTTAAAGTCTGGGGTTAGAAGGGTATAGTTGGTGTAATCAAGAATCCAAATCCTTGTTCATTCATGAATGATCAATTTCAAGGCCTTGAACTTGAAATAAGAGTAGGAGGCAGTGAGTGCAAACTGTACTTATTCATGCTTTTGATAAGGAATGGGCTTTTGAATCTGTAATTTTTTAAAGAAGATTATACATGGACTAAGAGCCAAATTCACCACTACCATTCTCTAGCACATATATAGTCTTCTCAGACTGTCCTGCACTATCATTTTAAGCAAAACAATCATGCTTTAGCAGGGGCAGATCCAGAGGTAATTTCTGAATGTCTTCCAAATTGCCGTTGTTAATCTATCCTCCAATTTTGACCATCTTCTTTCAGGGAAAAAAGTTGCCCGTCAATGTAAACTTGAAAAATTCTGACCATCTCCCAAAAGAACCAGAAGACGACTTTCGTTTGCCCCTGCTTGGCATTGTCATTGTCATTGCCATTTTTAAAACAAAAAAATTCACTAGAGTTCTGACATTATCTCATACCCTGCACCAATGAACAGATTACTAGTACGGTAAACACTTGAAAATTATGTAACCTAAAAATTAATTGATATATAAAAATGCCTGAATCTTACATGGCCATATTACTAGTATGTGAAGAACTTTTCAAAATTATCCAGAGTCCCATTTTCAAGTATGGCGAAATTTTCTAAGTGAAAAAAATTTGTCAGCCAAGAATGATCTTCTGAAAAAATTTTCAAACCTCACTTATTTCAAGTTTTCTACCCTCTACCAGGACCACAGATTGAATTTTCACTAGGTTTTTCAGATATGTCTCTTGCTAATCGATGATATTTTTTTCTCACTTTTGTAATCATTTTAATTGAATGGCACATCCCCTCACAAAGCAACGTGAACAACATCATGGACCATAATTCCATAAAACTTTCTTGACGTTACCCAAGTACTTTAAATTATGAGGAAACATGTCTGACAATAAAGCTGATTACATTGACTGTGCTTTAGCAAGAACCTCCTAGGATAGATCAATCCTGCTGGACTGATAACTTATAGTCTGAACACAGCCATAGAGCACATTCAGAACAGACGATCTGTAGACTAACTGATCTGTCGATGGGACTTAAAAGCAGCACCCTGATGGTCTTCCCTGCCTCTACACACACCATTAAGAGGATTAAATCTCAGCTCCGAGGTTTAATTGCAAGGCCCCTGCTGCGACAGTGTGTGTGTGTGTGGAGGCGGAGAGGCTATCAGGGAATTAGTCGGCGCAGCTTTTAAGTGAATTGGCCATATTTAGTCTGCGGATCGGTTTCTCCACGGATCAACTTGCTCCAAATGCCCTCGTAGAGTATCATTTTATTTCTAGGTTAGAACTTGGACCCACCATAAGACCCCATTTCCAGAATTTAGATCGATCTACTTTAGATCGACCTAACTCCCTGGGGGTTCACGCTAAATAGCTGTCAGCAGAGCGGACACGAAAGTTAATAAATTACCTCCTTAC